GGGAGGAGGGATAGGAGGGAGGGAGGAGGGATAGGAGGGAGGGAGGAGGGATAGAAGGGAGGGAGGAGGGAGGAGGGATAGGATGGGGGAGGGAGGGAGGAGGGAGGAGGGATAAGAGGGAGGGATAGGAGGTGGGAGGGAGGGAGGAGGGATAGGAGGGAGGGAGGTAGGGATAAGAGGGAAGAGGGATAGGAGGGAGGGAGGAAGGGATAGGAGGGAGGGAGGAGGGATAGGAGGAGGAGGGATAAGAGGGAGGGAGGGAGGGAGGAGGGATAGGAGGGAGGGGTAGGAGGTGGGAGGGAGGGAGAGGGATAGGAGGGAGGAGGGATAGGAGGGAGGGAGGAGGATGATAGGAGGGAGGGAGGTAGGGATAAGAGGGAGGAGGGAGGGAGGAGGGATAGGAGGGAGGGGGTAGGAGGTGGGAGGGAGGGAGGAGGGATAGGAGGGAGGGGTAGAGAGGTGGGAGGGAGGGAGGAGGGATAGGAGGGAGGGAGGGAGGGAGGAGGATAGGAGGGAGGGGTAGGAGGTGGGAGGGAGGGAGGAGGGATAGGAGGGAGGGAGGGAGGAGAATAGGAGGGAGGAGGGGTAGGAGTGGAGGGAGGAGGGATAGGAGGGAGGGAGGAGGGGATAGGAGGGAGGGGTAGGAGGGAGGAGGGATAAGAGGGAGGGATAGGAGGTGGGAGGGAGGGAGGAGGGATAGGAGGGAGGGAGGGAGGAGAAATAGGAGGGAGGAGGGATAGGAGGGAGGAGGGGTAGGAGTGGAGGGAGGAGGGATAGGAGGGAGGGAGGAGGGATAGAAGGGAGGGAGGAGGGATAGGAGGGAGGGAGGAGGGATAGAAGGGAGGGAGGAGGGATAGGATGGGGGAGGGAGGGAGGAGGGATAGGAGGGGGAGAGGAAGGGATAGGAGGGAGGGAGGGAGGGATGGTTGTATGGATAGATGGAGGGACGGAGGAAGGGAGGAGGGGATGGTTAGAGGGAGGGAGGGAGGGGGGAAGGGAGGGAGGGATGTATGGATTTCAGATACCATCATCTTCCTCCCTATTATCATTATCCTCATTAACACTCTTTTTATTATCCTTTCTTATTCTTCTTTTTCCCCCTCTTCTTTTTTTTTCACCGTCGTCTTCTTCCTGTTCTTCACTATTGCCTTAATCACTTCCAATGTGAAATTAGTTTTGTACAAACACTAGCCTCTCTGTATCACAAACGCATATGCAAAATTGTAGTTTTGCTACAAAGGAACAAAAAGGACAAGCATTTGCTGTTTGTCTATCCTTCTCTTCTCTTATTCTGCCTGTTTCCTCTTGCTTCCTTTTTTTTTTATCTATCACCCCTTTCTTTCTCCTCACCTCTCTCTTTCCTTCTCCTTCGCTCTCCAGATTGTCTTCCTCTTCACCCTTCCATCTTCCTTTCGACCTTTCTCTTTTTTTCTCCTCTTCTTCCCTTCTTCCTCCTCCTCCTCTTTCTTCTCATCTCTTTCTCTCCTCCTCCTCTATCTCTTATCTTTCCACTCACTCCCTCTTCCTTCCCCTCTATCTTCCTTTCTTTTCTTCTCCTCCTCTCTCATCCTTTCTTCTCTTCTCCTCCTCTCTCATCCTTTCATCTCTTCTCCTTCCCTCTATCTCTTATCTCCCTCTTCCTCCCTCTCTCTCTCTCTTTTGCAATCTCCACAGGCTCTGATCCAGGAAGCTTTATCTTCTCTGTTTACGTATGTTGCTTAATTCTCTTTTGTTTATTTACAAGCCACATATAAGCTCTTGCAAAGCCTTTGCAACTCGGTCTTAATGAACCCTGCTTGCATCCCAGGAATTATGCATGTGCGTTCTTTAAGTCTTTAATGTTGAAAAGTTGAAATCAGATTTGATGTTTTAGAATATGAGTTCCTTTGATTAATGTCTTCATGTTCTAGAAAATTCCTATTAGTGTTTTAAGGTAAAAAAAAAAGTGACGCAGAAACTTAAAAAAAATATATAGGATTTGTAATATTTCTTTTTAGTTTCTATTCCTTATTTTTTTCATTAATATTCATGTAGCCTTGTCTGCAACGGTCGTGAAGAACAACACAAGATGGATCTTTCCTCGAATAAAACAGAAAAAATAATACATAACTCTCTCTTTCACTTCGTGTCTCTTTAAGTTTATTCATCTCTTTTTCTTCCTCACCTTCTTCTTCTCTTCTTCTCCTCTCTATCCAATCTTTCTCTTCATCTTCTTTTTCTTCTACTACATTACTTCGTCTGTTTATCTCTCCGTCTACTTGCTTCTCTCTCATTTTCCTCCACCTGCAGATAAACGCATAAAAAATGAAGGAAACAGATACAGATAGATAATTAGATAGACAGATAGACCAACACGCTATCATATAAAAAAAAGAGAGGTAAGCACATACAAATAGATCATTAAACACATAGACTAATGAACTCACTAGCATTTAATAGACAGATCAGTAGATAGATAGACCGATAGACAGAAGATGGAAAAAAAAATCACACTAAGGCGTCAATATGCACTTCAGAATGTTGACTCAAGTTAAGAAAAAGTTTAAGGATTAACGTAGAGGGAAAAGAATATTGGCTGAAGGGGAAAGTCGTTATTGAAATGGAAGGAAAAGGGAGGTTCCTTATTCAGGAGAGTCAGATCCGTGTGAATGCGAAGGCAACTGAGTCGCGTATCTGGGAGGAAGCTGGATGACTCACCAGGATCTCGGATGGGGGGCAACTGACTCAACTGGTTCGCAATTGACGACTCAGCTGGTTCTCAGATAAATGACTCGCCAGGATCTCGAGTGGGTGACTCAGCTGACATAATGGCTCTTAAGTGACTCAGCTGACATAATGGCTCTTAAGTGACTCAGCTGACAGAATGGTTCCTAAGTGACTCAGCTGACATAATGGCTCTTAAGTGACTCAGCTGACAGAATGGTTCTTAAGTGACTCAGCTGACAGAGTGGCTCTTAAGTGACTCAGCTGACATAATGGCTCTTAAGTGACTCAGCTGACAGAATGGTTCCTAAGTGACTCAGCTAACAGAATGGTTCCTGAGTGACTCAGCTGACAGAATGGTTCTTAAGTGACTCAGCTGACAGAATGGCTCTTAAGTGACTCAGCTGACAGAATGGTTCTTAAGTGACTCAGCTGACAGAATGATTTTTAAGTGACTCAGCTGACAGAATGGCTCTTAAGTGACTCAGCTGACAGAATGGTTCCTAAGTGACTCAGCTGACAGAATGGTTCTTAAGGGACTCAGCTGACAGAATGGTTCATAAGTGACTCAGCTGACAGAGTGGCTCTTAAGTGACTCAGCTGACATAATGGCTCTTAAGTGACTCAGCTGACAGAATGGTTCCTAAGTGACTCAGCTAACAGAATGGTTCCTGAGTGACTCAGCTGACAGAATGGGTTCTTAAGTGACTCAGCTGACAGAATGGCTCTTAAGTGACTCAGCTGACAGAATGGCTCTTAAGTGACTCAGCTGACAGAATGGTTCCTAAGTGACTCAGCTGACAGAATGGTTCTTAAGGGACTCAGCTGACAGAATGGTTCATAAGTGACTCAGCTGACAGAGTGGCTCTTAAGTGACTCAGCTGACATAATGGCTCTTAAGTGACTCAGCTGACAGAATGGTTCCTAAGTGACTCAGCTAACAGAATGGTTCCTGAGTGACTCAGCTGACAGAATGGTTCTTAAGTGACTCAGCTGACAGAATGGCTCTTAAGTGACTCAGCTGACAGAATGGTTCTTAAGTGACTCAGCTGACAGAATGATTTTTAAGTGACTCAGCTGACAGAATGGCTCTTAAGTGACTCAGCTGACAGAATGGTTCTTAAGTGACTCAGCTGACAGAATGGTTCTTAATGGCTCTTAAGTGACTCAGCTGACAGAATGGTTCCTAAGTGACTCAGCTGACAGAATGGTTCTTAAGGGACTCAGCTGACAGAATGGTTCATAAGTGACTCAGCTGACAGAGTGGCTCTTAAGTGACTCAGCTGACATAATGGCTCTTAAGTGACTCAGCTGACAGAATGGTTCCTAAGTGACTCAGCTAACAGAATGGTTCCTGAGTGACTCAGCTGACAGAATGGTTCTTAAGTGACTCAGCTGACAGAATGGCTCTTAAGTGACTCAGCTGACAGAATGGTTCTTAAGTGACTCAGCTGACAGAATGATTTTTAAGTGACTCAGCTGACAGAATGGCTCTTAAGTGACTCAGCTGACAGAATGGTTCTTAAGTGACTCAGCTGACAGAATGGTTCTTAAGGGACTCAGCTGACAGAATGGTTCATAAGTGACTCAGCTGACAGAATGGTTCTTAAGTGACTCAGCTGACAGAATGGTTCCTAAGGGACTCAGCTGACAGAATGGTTCCTAAGTGACTCAGCTGACAGAATGGTTCCTAAGTGACTCAGCTGACAGAATGGTACTTAAGTGACTCAGCTGACAGAATGAGTCCTCAATTGACTTCTAAATGACTCACCAGAATCTCAGCTGCGTGACTCACAACCGACTCAACTGATTCTCACCTGTCGGCTCAACTGGCTTTCAAAAATTGATTTACTTACTTAAAAAAAAAAAAAATTGTCATCGACTACGGTCATCAGCGACGTATTCAAAACATAGCGATCGGGTGGGACCTCATTACGGTAAAGTATTGTGGCGAAAAGGACAAAAAAATGAGGTAATGATTAGGATAAGTGGACAGAAGAGGAGGATGAAGGAGAGAAGGAAAAGGAAAAGGGGGGGGAGAAGAAGAGACCACGCGAAATTAGTCGAGTCGAGGGCTGGGGTCCAGGGCAGGGTAGGGGGAGGGGATTCCCTACTTTGGGCCTCGGTCTCCCTCTCCTAACCCCCCCCCCCCTCCACATCACGACAACGACGAACATGGGATTGGAGGTTCGGGGGTTTTCCAATAAGTGACTCAACTAGAATCTAGGATGAAGTGACTCAGCTGTAAGAATGGTTCTCAATTGACGACTCAGCTGACTTCCAAATTAATGACTCACCAGGATCTCGGTTGAGGTGACTCAGTGACTCAACTGGTTCGCAATTGTCGA